CTACCTCTGAACAGCCAAGAAGAAGCTCCTAAGATTCTTGATACCAATTTCACAATAGTTAGTAGAATCATAGAATCATTTAAGTTGGAAAGGACCCTTAAGACCATCGAGTCCAACCATAAACCTAACACTGCCAAGCCCACCACTAAACCATGTCTCTAAGCACCACATCTACCCATCTTTTAAACACCTCCAGGGATGGGGACTCAACCACTTCCCTGGGCAGCCTGGTCCAATGCCTGACTACCCTTTCAGTGAAGAAATTTTTCCTAATATCCAACCCATTTCCTCTCATCCTATCACTTGCTACATGCAAGAAGAGACCAACCCCCACCTCACTACTACCTCCTTTCAGGTGGTTGTAGAGAGCGATAAGGTCTCCCCTCAGCCTCCTTTTCTCCAGGCTAAACAACCCGAGATTCCTCAGCCGCTCCTCGTAAGACTTGTGCTCTAGACTCTTCACCAGCTTCACTGCCATTCTTTGGACACACTCCAGCACCTCAATGTCCTCCTTGTAGTGAGGGGCCCAAAACTGAACACAGTATTCAAGGTGCGGCCTCACCAGTGCCAAGTACAGGGGCACCATCACCTCCCTGGTCCTGCTGGCCACATTATTTCTGATACAACCCAGGATGCTGTTGGCCTTCTTGGCCACCTGAGCGCACTGCTGGCTCATATTCAGCTGGTTGTCGACCAACACCCCCAGGTCCTTTTCCACCGGGCAGCTCTCCAGCCACTCTTCCCCAACCCTGTAGCGTTGCATGGCGTTGTTGTGACCCAAGGGCAGGACACAGCACTTAGGATGTTGAAGCTTCAGTATACAGCATTTACTGCTCCTCTTGAACATCATCTGGAAAGTATGAACTGCTCATCCTCAAAAAGGGGTTCAGATTTTTGCACCCAATTTGGTGTATGCAAGTTATCTTCCGAGAGTTATGTAGAGTTTGTCTACAACCAGAAGGAAAAGGGCCCTCTGCCGAGGTTCAGTACTGAGAATTCTGAACCATTACTGAAAAAAAGGTTAACTAACAGTATAGAAGAAATAAAACAATTTCAGGACAGGTGCTGAAATGTCAATAGCATCATTTCAGTTAGCCTGTCATGCTTGTAGTAGAGTCCGTCCCTACAGGTTCTCACAATGCTGCAAAAACTACTTTAGTACCATTTCAATTGCACTTGATAGCACTGCTCTTGATTGCTTAACTCTGTGTAGCAACTCATCCTATTTTACCTTGGCCTGATAGAGAATAAAAACATCTGTGAGATGGCTGCAACTAACAGCTGATCCTTAACCACAGTTCCACAATGTTTCTAGCGCCTCCCGAGTGACCAAACCCTACAACTAATCTTGCAGTAATTTTTGCTTTGAGCTACAGTATATACATTATCAGTGGAATATTCTGCTTTAGAGATGCAAAGGATATTTTCTGGTAGTTGTTCTAATTTTGAAATGCTCTTGCAATATTGGTATCATTTAACCACTACGGAAGTCCTTTTATTGGTAAATATTTGCGGGGTACCTTTCAACTGCAGACAGCAACTTTCACAAAAATGCCTAGCCCACAGAAACTCCAGGCTAGACACCCACAATGCAGCATTACCAGCACTGACTGGGAAGCCTGCTCAAAGCACACATACTGAACTGGATAACTTTTAGCTGCAACAAACAGTATTGATGCACCCTACTTACAACGACTGAAAGAAATCACAGTAATTTAAAACAGTTCAAACCCCCATCTTAGGCAAAACCACTGAAGCTTTTTATAATGATGATGGAAGCTGTTACTCCATACGCACAAACAGTTAAATCATTTGGAACATTACCTGAGGGAGATTTGCTGCCGACAGCCTTTGTCCTCCAAAGCCCAGATTTCCTAATGCAAGCAGGGTCTTGAGAGACTACTTTTCACACAGCTATTTGTCCAGACTCTTGGAATATGAGCTAATTGGTGGCCAGAGATTCAAAATGTGATGCAAGAACTATATTTCTGTTTAGCTTTGTTCATTTTGTATGTTATTTTCTTTGGATTTAACTGTTTGGTGAAAGTTATTTTATTCAATATTCACTGAAAACATCTAGTAACTGAGACAAAGATGATATTTCTTGGATATATTCTACACAAGCTGAGCATTAAACTCCTTTTACATTTAAGAGTCCCGCTTTTTTCTAATATGAAAAATGAATGTGAGCTAAGCTACTTATTGTCTACTATTTCATTAGAACTCATTTTTCTGTTGTATTCAACACATGCTGCAGTAAGAAGGTGACTGACTACTGCTTAATAATTCAATGTCAGGATGCTCTTCCCCCTTCTATTTCACTTGTGTTTCCCAAGACAAGGAATATTTTAGTACTTACAGAACCAAATGGGACTCTAGATAATTCAAAGGAATCCCTGTTGATCAAGTTCTAGCATATGCATGTACACATAGGAATACAAGGTCTACAAAAGCACTGGAAATAGACAGATTCATTGAACTACAATATGCAGTTAAAAGTTTTCGATAACCACAGTGATACTCTGCTAGCCTTGTAAACATCAACTCACAGAAGAGTTCAGTTTCAGAATCAGCTACAAGAGGAGTAAGGCAAACAAGGATAACCATATCCCATTTTCCACCTCTTCTTGCTTCTTCTTTCTAATATGCATGGAAAAACCACCCATAATGTGATGCCAGGCTTTAAAAAAAGTGTGGCAAAGCCAACAAATCCATCAAAATATGATTTAATGATTTCTAACAATAAAATGCATATACTCGACAGTAACACAAGAGAAGCGGTCTTTTTTAATTAAAAGTTAAGCATGAACTTCTGGAATACAGTTTAATTACAACTTGCATGGAAGTAGTAGTTTTATTATGCTTAGCAACATTATTTAAAAAACAGAAAATTCATGTAATGCGTTAAATTAGTTTTAATGGGTTGTAATTAATCCTACTTAAAATTAGGACATACACTGCAACAACCAAAAATAAGTTAATACAGTACTCCACTTTTCCATGAGGTTTAACAGGTGTCTAGAGAATGTCTTCTAATGCTCAAAGAGTTGAAAACCACATCAAACCTCTTTGTGAAGATTTTCCTTGCTAACGGGATATAAATTTTTGCCCATTAATAGAACATCAATTATTGGATATTTTATGGCATTATGGAAACTTCTCCAAAAACTCAACTAAATCTACGAATGAAAATTTTAAAATAATATTCTAATTTTCTATCATTTTGTTTCAGGCCTGACAATAACCTGGAAAAAAAAAGATTTGTGCATCTAGAATGTGCACCTACACACACAATATTGCAGGACAATACTATTCAGTCTGATATTTAACCTAATAATTGAAAGAACTGAGGATACAATAATAATTTAGGTACATTATATGTATCAGAATTAAACAAAATTATTCAATGGCTGCTACTATAAGATCTCAAAAAAAACCCCTAGCAACTACGATATGAGCATCTTCAACTTGATGAGAACATATAATGACATTAGAAATAACCGCTTCACTTATAGTTCATTTACACTAACACTAAGAGAACAGAATAGCTGTATTTCAAATTAGTATCATTTTAACTCAACTGGAAGTATAAACTTTCATAGCTAGACAGGGTAATGTACAACTCTAACTGAGGACAATGTATATTCAAATACAAAATGGAAGATAGAAGAGTATTTATTTTGTAGGTCTCTTTGCACTGTAGTCTCTTTCAGATCTATGTATCCATCACCCAAGGTCACAATAGGGAAATGTGATACTGTAAATTCAGGCATATAAAAACTCTATTTAGGTTTTTTTTTCATGTTAAAGAACAGTGCTACAATAATCAAATGCAATTCATAATTTGTTTAGGGAAATGTAGGCCTATTGACTTGGTGAATCTTACTTACATACCAACTCATGAACTCTTGTACATTAAATGAAATTTCCTGAATCCCAAGTTACGCAACTAGATTAGCAAGATAATCATGTCTGATAGGTTAAAAAATTAATAATATATTCTAATTTTTAAACCTAAAATTATACTATTACTTTTTAAATTCAGAAAAGTTTACAAAAGAACTGCACTTTTTTACCTGAGTAATTATTACTGCCACATCTATATTCCAAAGCATGAGAAAAAAAAAGGCCTAGAGTTGTTAAAGTAGGTGTCCTTTTTTCCAATAGCCTGTTAAACTCCAGCTGTCTCAACCTGTAGTTATGATTACAAATGTTCAATTTATAAATACCAATTCCAAATAGTTCTTAAGTAGTTAATATAGCTTCAGGGATACAAGAAAGTACCTACAATATGAACTGTCTGGTACATATGATGGGAATTCTTTTTTCCTGAAGATTCAAAAGCAGTATGAAAACCAATGAAAAGCATGCTTCTGCTGTGACGCATTCCCCCCAGAAGTCTTACAAAAATTATACTATTGAATAATGTAAACATAAGTGTCAGGTTGCATCTAGAGTAACAGACCACACATTATGGAAGAACTTACAAGAACAGATTGCCAAATTTCTAATCTGCTACTGATTAGCAGAAGAATGTTATGCATTTGTTCCTAGTTGTAATCTAATCTTCATGCATATTCAAAAGCTAGAGTATATGCGCATAGTAACAATAATCTTGCATGATGCTTCTTTACACAAGTTTCTTTAGTAATATGGGTCCTAATGAAGACAATTTCAGGAAGCTGGCTAATTCTGTATAATTTCACTACACAGAAAATACACCCAGCTTTCAAAAAGAACAAACTTGTTATAAATTAGAGCTCATACTAGTCCTTGGCCGTAATATAATAATAATAAACAAGATACTCATTATTTTATATTGCTTAACACTTTGAATGCCGTATTTCCTTCACATACTTATCATGTATGAAGCATTGTTGCTTTGTAGTTCACATTTATACGGCTTTCCTAGAAGAACGCAGAATACCATACTGAATGTCTATTGTGCAGAAATAACCCTGAAGGCTGTATCATAGCAGTATGCAGTAGAAAACCCTTACCAATTTTTCATCAGCTGCGATGAGTTGCGTGTCTGGATTTTGTTCCTGTGCCAGCCGCCATGTGGAAGTGCTCAGTGACCTGCAGTGCAAGACTTGAAGTTAAAAAATGATTCATGCAATGAGAAAATAGAGGCAGACAAATCTTACATAAACAAGTTACTTTAACAATATCCGTCTTGTAAAAAAAATTGAAGACGGAGAGATGAGGGCACAAAAATCCTTTTTCTCCCCAATTAGTTCTGTCTGCTGAGTTTTTGGCAGACTCCCACTTAGCAGTTCACAACAGGCTGCACTTTATGTCAGCCTACAGGCTCTCTGTCACAGAGAGACTGCCAGTGGCAAGGATTGTACTGTCTATATGAATGTACAGTAGCTGGTTTGTCACGAACAGACAGAAAAATACAATGCTGCTGCAAGCATTCTGGAACTCTGATCCTTAAAATGATGGCATCAGAGGAAAAAAGTCCTAAATCTATTTGTAATAGCAAAGCTCCAGTCCTATACTTTAACAAGAGAATATTAACAAATCTAAAAAAAACCAAACCAAAACAAAAAAAAAACCAGCCAAAAACCAACAAAACAAACCTTAAGCTGATAATTCAAACAAAATTTTCTGGTTTTGAGTGGTCAAAGCTCACAACTATTTTGCTTCATTTCTAAATAAGTATGGATCAGCCTATTCATTTCCAAGAAATATGATTAATCTTGCATAATTACTAAACCTGTAAGGTACAGATGGAAACACAGAATCCAGCTCCAGATCACTGAATTAAGAAGCAAAATTTGCCCTTAATTTGCATTATTTCACTAATGTCAGGATTGGGCCCTTCAAGCACAAATCATCTTTTGACAAAACAATGCAACAGCAAGTGAAACAAACCAAAAAGCCCAATTCTCTGAGCTAATAGTGTGCTTCACATTTAATTAAGGTCATTTTAAACAAATGAGGCACAAAAATGCAAGAATATAGACAACTGAACAGTAAGAGGGACTAAGCCACTTTCATTTCCACTGTTCTTCAGAAGATTAGCTAATTTGGGAAGCCAGACATGCTTGCAGATGCAAATGAACTTTGAAATTTTGCCTATGGGATACTTACAACCATACTTCCAGTAATTTAACTCTATTGGTAATGTTTACCTAATTTTTGAGGAAGCCATCCACAAGTGCCTTTAGAAACACCACAGCTTTTAAAGCCAAATTCCAAGACTTTCAGAAAATCTGCAATACTATGCAAACTAACCCCTCGCCCACATAAACCATAACTGTTTAGTAAATAATGCGAAAGATGTCTCAGGACCAGATAACTTGCACACAACCAGTCAAAACCCATAGAATTAGAATCATAGAATCATTTAGGTTGGAAAAGACCTTTAAGATCATCGAGTCCAACCGCTAACCTAGCGCTGCCAAGTCCACCACTAAACCATGTCCCTAAGCACCACCTCTACCCATCTTTTAAATAACTCTGTATCTTCTACCGCATTCTGTTAAGCCACGAAAACATAGCAGACCTAACTGGGGGAACACTCTCCATAACACATGCATCTACCATGTCTTCTAATCTCAAATCTCTTCCTAATTTTTGTCAATTCTGGTGAGAATGCATTTGAAGATATTGATCATTTAATTAATCTATCTGCACTGGATTTAACACATCAACTAAACAAGCATTCAACTTTCAGACAATATTAGCACAGTAAAGTTTTTAGGAGGTAAAACCTACACTAGAAAGGAATTTGAAATTAGTGACTATGAAGAAAGCCGAATCCTATAAAACTAAGCAACTGGAACAAAGTTCAATTCAGTAATATTTCAAATGCAGATTCCCACAAATCTACACTTCTAATGCAGATTACACCCTACTAAATTACCATCTACCAATAACAACATAATATCTCCATATCATGAAAAACACACTCAAAGCACAAAGCTTATAGAATCACCCAACTTTGTGACATGAAGAGACCCATCTATTCCTATTTAAAATGACAAAATCTGTCTGGAAGGGTACTTTGAAAAACAAAATAAAGTTTTCAAGCGCAAGGGAGCACAAGAATTTCATACATTGAAATGATAACTATTCTGTTAGCTCAAAATCTCTGTCCCAGAGAGCTTCTGGCTCAACACAGGTGTCATTTTTTAATTTGTACACATAAAACAATACATCATAAAAACAGCATAGACAGATCCTGCAGTATGCTACAAGAAATGGCTCTTAGATGGTCCTTATTCAAAAACACACCAAAAGAGAACTTATCCTAAAAGCCTTCAGAACAGCAGCATTACACTTGAGTTCCACTGGTAAGTAGCTAAAGCCACAATATTTCCCACCTTAAAAAAGGCAAAAACATTGTAATAGGAAAATTAGTTTCTCCCCCACACCACGAATTTTAGTATCAAAGTAGTATTCTTCAGGTATTCTAGAATGTCATGTGATACAGTGTTCACTACACTACTTAATATATGGCCAAAGGAGGACGTTGGATTATGCCATCAAATCAGCCCTTTCTGGATAGAAAATAATCTAAACTATGAATCAAGAAGCCGTCTGAACCTTGCTCTGTGGAGACGTCTGATGAATATGTAAATATTGGAGTACGCCAGGATTTAAGTAATAAGGCTGATCAGAATCACACTTTTTCTTGCAATATAAATGCAATTTGGAACAAAATTTAGCACAATTCAGTTGGAATTTGGTTGTTTGTTTGGTTGGTTTTTTTATTTGGAAAAGCATTAATCAGCTTTGAAAAGTATAAATGCTATGCCCTTCCAAAATGATTTCCACTCAGCATTTTGTCATTTGACATCATTTTTACTCAGATGATTGCTCATTTTGGAAATTTCTGTATTTACAGAAAAAAAATTAAAGATATTTCATACCATTATAGTTAATAGGGAAGCGCAGGGTAAAAATCCCACCAGATTAAAGGTGGGCAGAATCTCTCTCTGAGATGCCTCTACACTGCATACAGAGAGAACTGGTTTTTTTGCACAAGATATCTGTGTCAACTGGCATAATTGCAAGGCATCACACCTTACAGCTCTCCATGATGTTTTAGCTCTTCTTCTATAAAAGCAGACAGATGGTTTACTAACCTAAGGCAACTTCTGCTCCTCTTCATCATTTTGCAAAGCCATTTCTCTTGACTACACCATTCTGGAAAAAGCTCAGCTGTTACTGGAATTTGCAGCCTTGTACATTTCTTAAACGCCCAGCCTTCTGTCCATCCCTGGATTGCAATGATTTGGAAAGAACATACTTTCCTTAAGAATTTCCTCTTTGAAGAGTGGTTGAAAACTGGCATTTGAACTAGACTAGGAATGTGAACCGTAAGTCCGTGGAGTTGCCTCAGTGTAAAAAATACATAAAACACCAGTTTTGTTTTAAAGATGACAGGCTGTTGATGTTTCCATTTGTTGCACCTCTCATAGGAAAGTAACCTGGAGCTTAGAAATACCAGCAACTCTGAAATATCATGTGATCTGAAATACCACTATTTAAAAGTTAATAGAAAGTGTTACTTGATTCCCAGAGCGCTTGTTTAATTTTCAACAGGTTTCATTTCAAGTTTGTCCCTAATGTCAGGCATTTAACTAAGGAGATAACCAAGAAACAGACCTCTTTCACACAACCCTCTCTTTTCAAACTCCCACAACGACAAGTATCATTTCATCACTCAAGTTTTCCCTTAGAAATTGTATAACATTTACGATATTTATTTTACCTTCCAATTAAATGAATATGCAATCTAAATCACTTAAGTGACCATTCCATTTAAACCTTTTATTCTGTCCTCAACAGTGAAGTTAATTCTTACAAAATTCCCAATTAATACTTGTCTCTGCCCATATCCACCTTGACCTTTAGGTAGCTTTTGTGACACATAAACTTGCAGAAGTATAAAACATACTTTTTACAGTTCCATTCTCACAAGGTTCTTCTCCTTTCCTCTACTGCTGACCTCCAGAAAGGTAATCTGCTTTCTTCCTTTCTCTTTGTAAGCAATATGGGTCCACATTATCCTGTTTTGCCTGTTTTTGACTGCTTATGCATTTTTTTTCCTGTCGAAACATCTTGGGATGAGGCCTTAAGAGGAGCAAGTTCCATTTCTTACCCTGTTCCAAGACTAATCAAACTCTGATTTTAAATTACTGTACACAGAATACTTTAAATAATAATAAATAGACCAGTAACATAATTCTGAAGTTCAGAAACTATACAGAAGCTTTTACACATAATAGCTAGCAACAACAAATCCTGCTATCTTCTAGGGTCATTCATGTCCCATTCAAAACACAGATCAGACAAACTTCCTTCACAGTTGCTATGTAATAAACAAAGTATGACTAGACTCCAAGCTTGCCACAGCTCTGTTGTGGATCTGCCCAAACATTTGTTTTATAGTGAGCTCCCTCGTGATGAACAAACAAGCTTTTAAATGTAAAAGTCTGGGTTTATTACAATAGTTAGACTTTTAAAAGAAAAACCCTTCAAAATTACGTAGACAAAAGTAAAATTAAGGTTTATTAAAAAAAAGTCACCCATGTCCTTTATGATCTTGCAGATACATTAATGTGCGATACTGTGGGAAAGTATGTGGCTAATCTAATCTGCAGCTTCTTGGATTATAACCAACCCTTCACAAGGTCTTCTAGTCCCTGAAAACTTTTTCTTTCATCAAGGAGGCCTGGATATATGGCTGGTTAAGATGCCACATTAAGTTCACAGGGACTCACACAGCAAAATTCTCCTCTTGCTGAAGTTTGTCTTTCTGGGCCTGCTTCCTTTGGATGCATCTGGCATCACACTCCTCCTCCCCAAATACATCCCCTCTCTCAAATCTCCTAGTCACTCTCTTAATGGAGGATTCCTTCTTTGTTCTCTATGTGTTAGTCTGTCACACAAATACGGAGGTGTCTTTGTCTTTCCACAAACACGGATAACTTGGCATGAACGTACAGCTCCTTTGGCTACAGAGACCACCGCTCAAATTGTCATTTGGTTTGCACTTATGAAAGTGGTATTTTCTCCCTACCCTGTGCCATTGTGTTGGGCATTTAAATTCCTTAAACTTG